TTTGCCTTTAAGAAGTTTCATAAAATGCTCTACGGCTGTCAGTTCACCTTAATGATCGATCGCGAGCCACTTCTTGCTGTGTGGCTCGAAGAAAGAAATACCGGCATATACTGCCAACCGGCTCCAGCGATGGGCCACTCTGCTTCCGGGGTACGATTTCAAGTTGAAATACCGGTCCACCACCAGCCTCCGACAAGCCGCCGCACTGTCTCGACTGATTGATTCAAGCAGGCCAGAACCACAATATACTGTGGTTACAAAAATAGGCTTGGAGCCAGAGGTTAACCGTGTAGTTTCCGAAGCGGCTCGCATCCTCCCAGTGACTGCCGACATAGTCCGCCAGGCTACCGATCAAGACTTTGTACTGCAGCCAGCCATAAATTACCATCGCATTCAGTGGCCACGTACCTGCCGAAAAGATGAGCTGAAGCTTTACTTCAACTGGCGTGATGCACTATCACTAGCCGATGGAGGCCTGTTGTTTTCAGAACGTGTAGTCATCCCAAAAAAGTTGCAAACAGCCGTCCTGAATCAGTTCCATAAAGGGCACCCGGGAACAAACAGGATGAAGGCCCTTGCTTGGAGTTATGTCCACTGGCCTTTGATGGACTTCAAGATCGAAAAAGTCTCAAAAACTTGCCTGCGGTGCGCTGAAGCATCCAAGTCACCGGTGAAAACCTACTTACGCCACTGGCCGCAACCGACCGAACTCTGGCCTCGTCTTCACATCGATTATGCGGGTCCAGTGGGCGGCCAACACTTTTTGGTCGTGGTCGACACTTGCAGCAAATTGCCGGAAAATTTTCCGGTGAACAGCTCCACAAGTGCCATTACAGTCCTGGAACTCCGGCGATTGTTCAGTCGCNCAACACTTTTTGGTCGTGGTCGACGCTTACAGTAAGTGGCCGGAAATCTTTCCGGTGAACAGCCCCACAACTGCCATTACAGTCCTGGAACTCCGGCGATTGTTCAGTCGCTTTGGAACTCCAAAGACTACGGCAGTCAGTTTACGTCGTCGGAGTTCGCACACTTTTGTCAAGATTTTGGCATAACGCATATACGCTCACAGCCGATTCATCCACAGTCGAACGGTCAACTGGAACGCTTTGTTGACACTCTGAAGTGGGCAGTTCAGAAGTCCAGAGGGGAGGGACCAATGGAGGAGATTTTGCAAAAGTTCCTGCTGGCATATCGAATGACGCCAAGCCTCAACTCATCTGATGGAGTCTGTAGCTACCCGGTCACCCACACACTTGACTGTTCCGCTCACAGTCGCTCGCTGGATCATGAGACATGTCTTTTTTCATGTCCACAACCACGTCACATTAAAGGGACTCATCGTCGATCGTCTGCACCGTCTAGTGAGCGTAGCAACCACTCATGTGCTAACGCGCCCACGCATACGCGAACGGAAATACATATGCGGAAATCGAACACAGTCAGCGCACACACTCGCGCGCGCAGGGAGCAGGAAACCAGCCTCTCCACCAGACCAGGGACAACTATGGAACACGTGTAGCAGTCGCACTGCGGGGAAAAACACGTTCCCGCGGTAGGGAATTTCACCAAAGGACTCTCGCATACGATAAGTTCCCTTTTTGACCTGCTCCCAATTCGGGTTGTATTTATTTTTACACGTGTTCCAACCATCCACAGTTAACCATATCAAAGACCTTTATTAGTGCATACACCTTCTGATTTGTATTATGGCTATCATCACCAGTGCACTAATAAGTGTCACCAGCAGAGGCCCTGCTCCGGAGGCGGCTTCGAACACCGCATGGCACCATCTGGCCACAAAAACGGCAGGCTAGCCACCGCAACACCAGGAAGGAGGTACAGTACAACCGGCATCTTGGATCATCTGCGCGTTCATTCAGCGAAGCCCAGAGAGAGCTGTTTCGTGACTACAGTGGCAGACACCCTACATGTACCCGAGGACTCATCCTTCGCCGGCGTGGCAAAGTGCTCTACGAGATTCAAGTTGGTCTAGCCAAGTGGATACGCCACGCGATTCAAACCCAGCCGACAGGTCCCGCTCACGGGACCGAGTGATTTGAGTCTAGAAACGCTTCTGGGTACTTTTGATCTCGGCTCTATCCCAGAAGATCTATCAGTTGCTTCGTCAGAGGCCTAGCCTGAGCACGGATTACAACCGCGACGATGGACAGGCAGGATCCGAAAGCCAGTGAGGCCACTGTGAGTGAACCCCCGGCTTCGAAGCTACGTCAACAAACT